GCTGTGCACCTCCTGGGTTAGATGAAGATCCTGGACTCTATCCAAGAACCTGCGTGAGCACTCGGACCCAGCCGACTGCATGAATTTATATATGTGCATGAATTTATATATGTTACTCTAAATTGTTAATATGTATTCTCATAATTAACTTCACCCTAACATAGTTATCATATGGGAACAACCATTTATTTCTGTCTTGGAGTGGACACACACATTTGGAACCCTTTCATAAAGGAAATGTTTCAAAAGCACAGTCACCCTGTTATTGTTGTGTGTGAAGAAGCTAAAAACAATTTAAACATAACAAAATCACTCCAACTTTTCCAGGTTTAAAGCTGGAGTGTTTTTGTTACATTTGAATAGTTCTCAGTTCATTTTCACTTAACAGTTAGAGCATATCACCTGTTGCCTTTTTAAAATATTCCCTTTTTGAAAGGGTTCCAAGTGTATACATGTCTATACCAGGTAACGCAGTGGTAGGTATTCCAGAAATGATAGCCAGAGATCCTGGTTTTCTCCAATTTAAAAAAATCCCCAATTTTCAGTTTAAAAACAAACAAACCTCAAAGCCACATTTTTCCATGATTTAACTGAAACACCACTTATATATATATATGTATGTGTGTGTGTGTATATACACACACACACACACACACACACACACACACACACACACGTGCACACACACATATGTATGTATGTGTATATATATATATATGTATGTATGTATATGTGTATGTGTGCGTATGCATATTAGGGATGTGCGAGGCTTCGGTCTGAAATTCAATTTAGAGACGATTCAGTCCGATTCAGAGACCAAATTATCGAATCTAATAGAACTGGGAGAAGGAAAAAAACCTCTGAATTGATTCAGAGCTTCTGAATCAATTTGGAAACGATTTGGCAGGCAGTCTTTCAGGGGAACAGAAACTGAGAAGAGGAAGGGTAAGTAGGCGGGGGGGGAAGATTAACATCTGTAGCTGGCCAGTGACTGTGATCTTTCCCTGATTCCCCTTCCAACAACAGTGCTCTGGGCGAGATATGTAGAAACAGCACATAAGCCTCTGTTTGCAGGCTTTCTGTGCCTTTTGTGAGCTGTTTCTGCCTGAGCAACAGCATCTGAAAGGTACTGCACTGGCTTGGCTTCCCACCTAGTCAGTCTCCTGCTACTTTCTGTTCTTGGAAACGATTAGATATAGCTTACTAACTAGAATCCCTCTCCTTATCCCTATCTAATCCATTTCTTTCAATTTATATTTGTTCTTGATTCCCCACCTTCCCCACCACACTTTTTAAAAAGAAAGCTGTGTTTTCCCTGGTAGTGAAACCATTGCACCTATCTCCTTGAAACTTAGCAGACTTCATGCCCTCAGAACAGGCTACCATCTGTACAATTTTTATCAGAATCACCCCAAAATGACAAAGTTATAGGTATTTCAGTGATTCCCCATTATAGACTATGGCCAAATCTCCAAACCTCTCTGAATCAGCGCTGAATCTTCCAAAGCCAATCTGCCAAATTGATTCAGGACTGTGATCCGAATCAAATCACTGTCCTCCGAATTGCCTGAATCTGAATCCAAATCAAATACTTCCCTATTTGCATGGGCTTAATGTATATGTGTACAGTGATGTTTCATTTTAATCATGGAAAAATGTGGATTTGGAGTTACTTTTTTTTTAAACCAAAAATTGGGGATTTTTTTAAATCAGAGAAAACCGGGATCCCTGATGATACCATAGGTATCTTTCATCTACACTTTGCTGCCACCTAGTGGTGGGAGAGCAAACACTTTTACATTTAAGCTGCTTAGACAGCCTGCATCTGTCCCAATCTCTCCCCTTTCAACTGAAGACTAACTGCACATCAATTTTCCATTGTGATGTTTTTACCTCACTGCTATTCTACCTATATCATTGTTTCATACTGTTACCCATCACCAAAGTATCTGGGTATGCTCCACAGAGTCAATGGCAATAGTAAAACCACTGATGGATTTTATTTTACACAGAAAAAGAAAGGAAGCCAGTTTGTGGCTTGTCTGGAAGTAGAAGTGGATGTAACAATATCACAATGGAATAAATGTCTGTTCAGTGCAGAAAGTCAGATGTAGGGTAAAATGTATGGTAAAGGTAATTAAATTAGTAAAGCCGGTGACTGCTTGAATAAGGCCTGAAGTTGTACCACAGTGAAAGTAAGACTCAGGACCAGATGCCCAATGGGGACATAGGAGTTGAAATCAAACACCAACAATGAGTTTAGAAGACATCAGTATAGGAGGCTTCTGTAAGCATGTTTTTAAATTACAGCACTTAAAGTACTAAGTAAACACACAGCATATAAATCAGCAGGACTTTTGTAGGGATACTGGGTGTGTCTGCACTTGCATTAGTTCCAGGAGCAATTTACTTATGAGTAAATGCTCCCTGGCAGGTGTCTATATGTGTAGGAAAGCAGAGGCAAATTTGCTGCTAATGGCAGAAAATTGCTCTCACTTTCTTGGGCCCTGCAATGAGCCCCTGCCACCACCCACTCTAGGCTCCCCATCAGTGCTAGCTCAGGGGCTGGCAGGGAGCACTGGGCAAGGAGACAGCTGTCTCCTGGCCAGGGCAGGGACATTACTCTATGTCCCCAGAGAGCTGCTGGTGCTGGGGCAGGGACAATGTCCCTCTCTGCCCCAGCAGCAGGGAGCTCCCATCCCCAGCTCCCTGATTCAGACATGCAACTTGGAAAAAGCTGCAAGGGAGAGGTAGATTCCATCCCCCTGTCCTGATCCATTGGTGGAGCAGATAGCAGTGAGCCACGAGCTAGGCAGGTATTCCCCACCCAGCTGGGGGCTTGCTACTAGCTGCCCCACTAGTGGATTGGGGCAGGAGGCTGGGACCCACCCCTGCAGCTCTTTCCAAGCCCTGCACCTCAATTGCCTGATTGAGGCATGGTGCTGGGACCTGCCTCTGACCAGGTCAGTTAGCAGCCCCCACTCCAGATTTACAGTTGCAGAGCTGGGTGGGGAACAGGCTCCCCAGACTCTTCTAGCAGGGAGCTCCCAGGGCTAGCGGTGGGAGATCCTTATCTCCCAGCACCAGCTCCATGACTGTGAAGGCAGCACTGGGAGATAAGGATCCCCCAGCACCAGCCCCACTGTCAAGGAGCTGGCAGGGGTACCCACTATTAACTATTATTATTATGCATGGTAATTACAAAGATGATCATTCCTGTATGCAACATCAAAGTGGAAAAGGGACAGATAAGGCAGGGCACAAATTGAACTACTTGGGATGCTGGATAACATCAGATGGTAAATGTGATCATGAAACATAATGGAGAATAGGGATGGCAAGAGACATTTAGGAAAATGAAAAAGATATTGACAAATAGTAAACTTTCTATGGGGATGAAGTTAAGAGTTTTGGATTGCTATGTTACACCAGTCCTCACATATGCAACAGAATGCTGGATAATATTGCCACATTTGAAAAAGAGAATTGAAGCAACTGAAATGTGGTTCTTAAGGCTCATCTTGAATGTATGTTGGATAAGTCACACTTCAAAAGAAGATATTTTGTTAAGAGCAGGCTGCAGGAGGAAGCTGCTGATTAACATCAGAAAGAGACAGTTGAAGTTTCTCGGACATGTTATGAGGAAAGAGGAAATTGAAAGTCTGGCTGTAACTAAAAAGATTGAAGGAAGAAGAGATCATGGAAGACAGAGGTCGACTTATGTCAAGAGTCTAACTAAATGAATGAGTGTATCGACACTGGAAATTCTGTATGCCTCAAAGAGAAAAGATCTGTGGAAGACCGTGGCCAACAACATCCTGTTTGGATATGATACCGAGAGAGAGAGAGAGAGAGAAAGAAAGAAAGAGAGAGAGAGAGAGAGGTACCCCCATGGAGTTGTAATAGAACTGCTGTTTTTTAAAATATATTTATTAAGTTGGGATAGTTATGAAAAGCAAATTTATTAATGGTACAATATTATTTAGCTTGCTTAAGACTAGGGAAGATTCTGTTAAACTCTAGAAGGACATAAATTAGATAATAGACTGCACTGTGGTAGATTAAATTCAGTACAGAAACAGACAAGAGAGAATGGAGTGAATAATATATTGGAAAGAATGTAATCATATGTTGACCCTTTATAGATTTTAAAATTGTCAATGAACAGTTCATGATTTTCTAGAATGGATTAGTTATTCAAACTGTTCAGTCAAGAATTGGTCTGAGTAAGTCTTGATTCATAAACTGTTGCAAATATACAATATTTGAAATTCAAACTGTATTTGATTTAGACAAACAATTAAATCACATGGCATTTCTTCTGATCCCAGTGTGGAGAAATGGTAAGCTAAGGAACAAAAATAAAAGCAAATTTCCACTGACTGATTTCCAGCAACAAAACTGTACTTCTTAGCATATAGATGCATAAGGGGCAACCTGATAGAAGTCGAAAAAATAATGAACAGCAATCTGCATTTCTGTTCACTTTTCCATTCTACAAGAGAAAATGACATGTAATTTAAGAAAGCAACAAGCAGATTAAAAATATGAAAAGGAGAATTGATTTGATACATTAAGAGAGTTAACACTGCTATTATTCAGCCAAACAACTTATTAAGATTTTTAAAAGGGTTAAAAATGATGTGAATAAAATAACATGTGGGACAAGCCAAAGAAAACATGGCTTACCATTGAAATAAGATTTTAAAGGAATTTAGGCAGAAAATGTATGAGAGTTCAAAGAAAGTTAATGAGGTATAGGCCTGAATAGGTTGGAATATCCTGAAAAAGCCATCTAGGAATACAGGAGAACCTCTTGAAGAGGCTCTTTAGCAGTTGTTACTAGGATGAGCTTATTGGAGCTCAAGTTGTTCTCTGCCCAAAAAAGGAAACACAATTTTAACAAATTCAGTGATTAAAAACACAACTCCTTTAAATAGAAAGCATACTGTGCATTACAAGCAGGGGAAATACTGTGAATAGTGTGCATGTTAAAACCCCCCTACCACTTGGGGTTCCATGCATACCAAAAGCCATTGCTTTTACACACTAACATACTTGGTACAAAGATCAAAACCTAGGTACTGCCATATTGCAAAGATTAGAAATGACACTTTGAGGAGGCATCAGGGTTTGAATTATGGGGGGTGGGGAAGCTGAGGGGGGGAAGCCCCCCCTCCCCGTAAGAGACAAGAACGTCTCCGTAAGAGATGAGAGCCCTCACAGCAGCCAGGCAGAAACTGCTGTTTAGCATGGGGGAAACGCGGCTCCCTCCCTCCCCGTCATTGCTGCCTGGCGCTTTTTGCTACAGCCACCCGGAGCCCACACCTGGGCTGCCACTGCCTCTGACCCCCCTCAAGAGTCAAAGTGTAATTTTAACCCTGGGAGGCACTACAACGTAGTGACAAATTCCATACATTTCTGCAAATCTCCAGTTTAGGCAACACATGAACAATACCTGGTTGGGGAAAAATTGCAAAGCACATCCTATTTGGATTACTCAAGTTTCGAAAACACAGAAACAAATCAAAATATACCCATTCGTAATTAAAAGCCTTTCAGGACCAGAATGCTTCTTACATCATAGTAAGGCTGGGAAATTCTTTCATTGTACTGTTAGTGACTAGAGGCTCCTGAACCTTTTTCAATGCCTATGCACATGCCTTTTCCAGGTAGATACACGGAAGCACAGGAAAAGAGAAAGAGAGTATGCGAGAATGAGAGAATCTGAGTATGTAACATCATGACACTGCATTAATACTTGTCAGTTTGTTGGGACAAGTCATCATGATAAAAATATAGGTGAACTTATGACAGTGCCTTTGTGATATTATCATTTTGTAACAATCACTTCCTTCCATCCACTTGGTGAGTAACTTTGTTCCAGCCAGAGTATGGCAGCAATATATGATATTTGGTGACTCACCTACTTGTGGCATGGATGCATGGAGCTCATGTGGTCAAGCTGGCACCATGCCTGCTGGAAATATGCACCTGATAGGCCAGAGCCCCAGGGCGATGGGCCAAAAGTGTACCGAAGATGAGGGCAAGGGAGAAAGCAGTGGAGGGCAGAAACAGCAAGAACGCAATGGCTCGTGTGCACCCCCCTTCTGGACTGTATGGCAGAGGTACCACCAGGGACTTCTTTAACGTTCCCCAAATCAGTTAAGAATCCTGTCTGCCTCATCCCCCTGCTTTCAGCACCCACTCCCACCCCCTCAGTCCTCATCCTCCCATACTCTCCCTTCCCATTCACCCCTCCCCCCTTTCCACTGCCCCATCACTGTTCCCAACTGATTGCAGGGTGGGGAGGCTCTCCAAAGCCACTACTGCCCTACTCTGATTGGGAACAGCAGCAGCAGCAGACAGATTTTTCCTCCCTGCCTGCCTGCCTCCCTCACCTCCCCCACCCCCAGGTGTTCCTGCCAGCTCAGGAGCAAGCATGGGGTAGGTGAACCTGCTAAACTCAACTGCAGCAGCTCTGCATTATAGCGTATAAAGATTATAATATATAAAATAATAAGATAGTATAAAGAACAGTAGTGCTATTGCTGTTGTAAAATCAGGGGGGTACATGCAGGGGGGTGCTGTGGTGCAGTTGCATTCCCCTCTGATTCCTGCTTCACCCAAACTTTAAAACCAACTGCCCAGGAGGAGCACCAGCATTTCCATTTCTGTTCAGCTAGCACTAAGGGAGTCAACTGACTTCATGATTTACTATAATCTACCTGCTAATCTCTCTTCACTCCACAGATACTAATGATCTTCTCCCCTTTTCAATAGCCTTGACGTTCCATAAATCAAGCTATCTTTTCTTCTTCAGTTTTGCTATCTGTTAGCCATTCCTGGCAACATCTCTCTTCTATTGCACAGCCCTGAAAACTGTTTTTAGCTTTAGCAAAAACCTTAACTTAGGTGTTAGGGTTGTTGGCTATAATTGTGTTGGTCTAAGGACATAGGCAGACAAAGTTCTTTGGGCAGATGTGATAATCTTTTATAAGACCAACTAAATAGATGGAAAAAATGCTCTTTGTAAGATTTGGGGCACAAACACCCTCCTTCAGGCATATAGAGACTATGAAGAAGGGTGTTTTTCCCCAAAAGCTTGCAAAGAACATTTTTTCCACTATTTAGTTTGTTTAATAAAAGATATCACATCTACCCAAAGAACCTTGTCTCCCTATTAATTTAGGTGTGGTACTGTTAGCTCAGGTGAACATTAAGTCAGGTATGGAAGTGACAGACAGTGAAGTGTTGCGTGCTCAAGAAGGCTAGATTTTGTTTTACAAAAATGAATAAGAAATGTACATTTAACTATAATGACTACAAGACAATAAAACAATTTATTTTGAGTATTTTTGCCTAGCTTGTGCATTTTTAACTGTACATATAATCTAGCAAATTAACTGTGAATTCCTAGTAATATTTGTTTTTGCTGTGATCTTAAACTGAATAATGTAGCACTAGGCCTCTAGAATATTGGTCATGTTTCTAATTTCCCTTTAATTGGAGAAAAGTGTGTGTTGTGTTATATGCGATAATGTACCATGTCACCTGCACTCCCCTTTTCAAAATCATCTTATTTGTAAAATACTGCAGAGGGTACAGAAAATGTAAGTCAAAATTATGGGCATCTATACACGTGCTCCAGGGTAGGGGGGGGGTGCTTTAATTGGAATGTCTCTGAGAGCCGCTCTGATTAAAGTGCCTGCAGCATTGTGTGTATTCAGCGTCCTGCACTTCAAAGTGGCAGCAGGGGTGCTTTAGCTCAAGCTCATCAATGAGCTTGAGTTAAAGCACCCCCAGCGCCATTTTGAAACGCAGGGACACT